CATCATTCTCGCTGCGCCCGGCTTGTCCCTCTGCAGCTGAGCCAACACGTGCACGCATCCGATGCAACGCTTCAACACCAAAGCCTTCAGTTTCCGCTAACACACATACACAAATATTCGACATACACTTCGGAGAATACGCATATGGTCGGTGACGATATGAATATTCTGGGAAAAAATTATTGCTCATTTCTGTACAATTTTATCAAAATTCTTATAAACTCTCCAACTCAGCCGAGTAAATCCACACTGCCTCTTACCCTATCCGACTCTGGAATTTCATGTCGGATGATTCGCATCATCTCAGGGGCGTCCAAATCCGAGATCACCCTAAAATCGACAGCATTCCAATTCGCCACACGCCTTACTCCTCTACCTCCCTTTCCCTTCCTTAACAAGGTATTCTTGCAAAACCTTTTCCTTGAAGTCAAGATACGCGTTCAGCTCCTCCTCGGGCAAGTCGATCTCGTACTCTCCCGTACCCCCCGTTGCTTGCAGAAACTCAGAAGTCGCCGTTGACTGCTTCCGATAATCCTACACCATCCCTTGCCATACCACACCATCTACACTTCTCCCTACCTCAAAAATGATAGTAGCCAGATACCCGCATACCCCCAACACTAGAGTCAACACTATATACGGCCAATACGCCGTCCAGACGTCTGCGGCACTAAGGGACGACATCCAGGTGAAAAAACAAAAGCAGATAAACACTGAGAGCAATGTCGGCAGGGAAACCTACCACGCACAACACGCAAACTCATTCGCGTTGTTTTCCTTCCACTACTGCTGGAAAATACACACATTCTCTACTTCGCGTTTTAGTGACAATATAAAAATTCTGAGGAAATTTCGGAAAATTCCTACTAGTTTCTGTACATTCCTACCAAAATTATTGCGTAAATTCCCATAGGGAGTGAGGAAACTCCTGAGCTCGGTCGAACAAAGCTGACTGACATTCCAACACTGTTTTCGGTAGTACTGGAAAATACACACATTGTCTATTACATGTGTTAACGACAGTACGAAAATTCCGATCAAACTTCTGGGTTTTTCCCAAGACCTCGTAAAGAAGCCAAACTGATCTACACTACCCTTCCCCCCGTGGTAATACCACAACTCCCACTCTTCATAGAAACGATAACAACAACGATTACCGATCCAGCGGGCGTATGGGCTCCACAGGTTCGAATATAACCATAGCTCGTCGTAGATGCCCTCTAACGTTATTGACCAACTCCTCATAAGGGCTCAGCTTCGGCGTGGTGTCCCCAGGGGGCGGAGGCGGCGGAGCCCCAACCAGGTGCACTTCCCTTTCTAGTGTATTAACCTCTATCGCTTGCTCTGGCTTAGACCCTACTATGGTCGCCTACCACCACAACAACGTAGTGAGATTAGCCTGCAGGTCCCAACCTACTACCCTCAGCAGACCCCTAGTGATATCAACCTCCTCGACAGGCCCCACGTTATCATGTAGTATTGTTTTCACTACTTCTACCTAGGACGAGTACTACTACACACGAGCCTATGGTCAATTTCATTACCATCTTTTTGAAAACCTTCTCACTAGACTCCTCCTGAATGCTTACAGCCTCCCGGCGATCCGAACCTGTGCTTTCCGATCAGTACGGGGAGAAAATTTGCTCATTCTCAACTACATGTGTTGGTGACTCATGCAAATTTTGAAGAGTTCACTTCTACCCGAATTCAAGTTCAAACAAACAAGGCCAACACTGCCTCCCAATGTAAATGATATCCAAGGTTCACCCTATCAAGATACGAATGAGGTCCACCCCGACCCACCCTCAACAGGCGTGCATGCCGAATCCATCAACAGTAGCAGTAGAGAGTCGGCAACCAAGTCAGCCATAGGGGACGCAGCCCATCTTACTGTTATCATCGAGGACGACAACTGCAACCAACGAGGAGATTCCCAATACCAATATCATCACCAACCTACATTTCCCTCCCCAGCTGACTTCTTCTGATGGACATATACCAGCCCCGATACAACAATGCCCGTAGAGTCGCCTAAAAATTAATAAAAAAAATCGCTTCGCTCCGCTGACTTCAAAATCAACCCTCACCTTCATGAACCTCTCGAGCCGTCTTCGCCGACATCACATCAACATCTTCGAAAAGCTGAAAACCCCCAATACGATCAACCTCCCCCCTCCTCCCTTTTACCCTTCCTCACCTGAGTAACCGCCTCATTAGCAAACGTAGGCAAGTCGAAGCCCGACACCGCCGTCAACTTCACGCTCATCTGCAACTTAGCCGTTTTTATACCTGCACATTTCGAGATCAACCCCAAAACACAGAAACCGCGTCCTTCCTTTCTTACTAGTAAAATCAGGAATCTCCTCAGCTGCGGTATCAGCTGATAACAGCAACTGACTGTCATTTCCCGACCTAACACAGCGTTGGAATATATGCTACTCGCTCTCCTCAGCTAAGCTCAAGACTTTCCTCACTACCTATAGTATTACCATACAAATTTACAGAAATTTATGAAAAAAATTTTCTAAAATTTCCTCAGAATCACCATTTCATTTTCCCCCACAGTTCAAAACTTCCCTCCCTCACGCCAGTGTTAAAATATACGTTTGCTCTCTTTATCTAACCTCATCAATTTCCTCACTAGTTGTACCAATTTTTCACAAACCAACAAAATTTCCCCAAATTTTCCACCATGTGCATATTTCTTACGCTGGGTCTTCCACCAGCAACGCCGTCGACGACCCCAGCTGCCGAGATCGCTAACAAAAACAAGAATATCATCTTCGCCTAATCCCAATAGGATACCTTGTTTGACCTCTGCGGTTTCTCATCAGCATCTGCCACCCTTCCCACGGCCGAGGCAAAAGCTCTTCCTACCAAAAATAGGCTCCTAACGGGCCTAATCCGTATCTTTCCTACGAGTCATGAATTGAATCTCCACCGATTGCGTATTCGCCGGAGTATTACACGATGTCCCCGGAAAATCCTACCAAAAATCATTAAAACATGAAACGCTTCGCTCCGCCCTGAACCTCACCAGCCCCAACTTGTCCTGCAAACGCCTCATAAGCGTCTGCTCTCCATGCACTAGGCAAACATGAGGAACGTTTAGAGCTTGAATGAAATCTCGCGTCTGAAAAAAATAATAAACTCCTCCTCCCCTCCCACTGTGGGAATACGAAAATTTTTGGGAAAAATTCATTTTTCCTGTACACTTCTGCCCAAATTCGTATGTAAATTTCTATTATTCTTGAGGAAGCTGCCAGAAGCAAACATATATCCCTTCCAACACTCCCCCTTCCCCACCTGTCCATAATCACTATGTGCCGAGAAACTGATAGTCTTCGTCGAACAGCGTACCGGCAGCTTCCTCCCATCCGTGAGAGTCAACGTATCGGGGTCATTCTGCAAATCATGTGCCAGAGTGCCCGATACACTATATCCTGTAATAATAACCTAAAACCCAAACTCACATTTTTCCTTCGAAAAAGATTCTGAGAAAATTTCAAGAAATTCTCATTTCATATGAAAACTTTTATAATGCTGAGCTCAGCTGAGGAGAGCAAACATATATGCCTCCAACACTACCATTACCCCGTTTTTAGGATCTGGTGCCCACTGCTCGAACAACTCCCGACTAGTTCCACTTTGCAGCATGCCTAACACAACCAACAATCACGCCCTCGCTCTAGAGGAAGCTTTCACTCCTCAAGTGTGGTGAAAACTGCACAAGGACGATATGAAAATTCTGAGAAAATTTTGGGGAATTCTTGCTGCTTTTTGCAAACTTCTCATCCGGTTCACCTACAAGATCCTATGATCAGCTAAGGAAACCGAGCATACGTTGCACTACTACTACTACTACTACTACTACTACTACTGCTACTACTACTACTACTACTACTACTACTACTACTACTACTACTACTACTACTACTACTACTACTACTACTACTACTACTACTACTACTACCGGGAGCTGCCATAACCACACATGGCATGCCCGGCGCCAACACCACATCTTCCCACTCCTTGCACGAATTGTCAGGCATATTCTGCACGTATCTTAATTTC